TTTTAGGCTTTATAAACTATTTTTAATATTTTATTTTTAATTATATTAAAGTAATATATTTAATAACCTAGCTCTTGGTAAAAATAGTAAAGAAATATAAAAATAAGCTTTTTTTATTTCCTACTAATATAAAAAATATATTTAAAAAAATTAAGTTAAACTTTACTAGGCTGCTAGTACTACAACACTTTAATTTTAAAAAAAAAAATTTTATTATTATTAACGCGTTAAGATTTACTATTACTAAAATTATTATATAACTAAAGTAAAAAAAGTTACTTAGTAAAAAAAAATAGGACTAGTAGTGCCCTATAGCCTTTTATTTTTATTAATTATATAAATTAAAGCTTTACTATAAGGTTTATAATTAAAAATTACTTATAATAATTAAGTACTTTAAAAAATAATATTATTACTTTAAGGGCTTTTTATATTTTATACACGTGTAGTATAATTATAATAACCTACATTATTTTTTTATAATAAAGGTTTTAAATTAAAAGCAAGTATAATAGGCAAAATTACTTATAGCTTATAACTTTAAAATTAAGTATAAATTAAATAAATATAATTTAGTAAATACGCCGTCGCGGTAATTAAATTATATAATAAAAAATAAAAAGTATTAAGTTAAAATACTCCCTACTTTATAAAAAAAGTTAAATTTATTTTTTTAATAAACCACTATTAAAATAATATTAAAAAACCTAGCTATCCCTTCGCGCGGTTAGGCTTATAAATACCTAAAATTTTTAAGCCTTAAAATATTTATTATAAAGGTAGTAAGTAAGAAAAAAACTATTAAACTAGTTATAAATACCCTTTAATAATAATTAATTATAGCCTAATAAAAGAACGCTCTTGTAAGCTAATTATAATAATAATTTAAAAATATAATTTTTATTAATTTAGGGCAGGCCTTTTTTATTACTAAGTAATATAAAAAAAAAAACTTTTTTTTTATAAAGGTATTATTTATATACCTCCCGTGCCCGTGTTGCAATATAAGATTATAAAATAATATTATAATAATTTTTATATAAGCCACTTTAATTATAAAAAAATTATTAAATTACTTACCCGTAAGTTTTAGTAAAAAAAGCTTAATAAAAATACACGTGTGTATATTAAAAAATATTTCTTATATTAAAGGTTTAAGGTTTTAAAATAGTTACCTTGGGGAAGTTTAATATTTTTTTTAATATTAAATATATTATAAAAAAATATTTTTATAAACTTTATTATTAACCTATCTTTATTAAAGTATAAAAGGCGTGTTTATAATATAATTTTAGTAATTATAAATTAGTTTAATAAAAAAGTAAAATATTTTCTTATTATTAATAAGATTACTATAAAAAAGTTGGCTAACTTATTTATTAAAAAAATTATATATAATACAGGGTCGCCCCGGAGCATAATAATAAATTAAGGTTTATTTTTTATTTTAAAATATTAAATAGCTTTTTATTAAGCACTATGTATTAAGTAATAACTTAGTATAGTATATTATTTTTAATTAAATAGTTAAATAAAGCGCTAAAACCAAACACTTAAAATATATTTACACATATATTATAATTATTAGCAAAGTAATTAAGTATTATACTTACTACTAGCATGCTTTGCTTATAATAATTTAAAAAATAACTTAACCAGCTACGCTTTACTTATAGTAAGCTATAAATAAAAACTAGTAATTCCTAGGCTTAAAAACCTAAAAAAATTAATATTTTATTTTTTTATTAAAAAATACTTATATTATTTAAAATAGCTTCGCGAGAATTTATAGGATTATATAAATAAAATATAAAAAAAGTAGGCACTTTACCATAATTAAAAATATTATTTAGTAAAATTTAAGGTTGGAAATAATATTTTAATATTTTTAAAAAATATTAAATTAATATATTTAAGTAAAAAACTTAACCTAAAGTATAATAAACCCTTTAAAATTAAATTTATTATTAAAAAGTAGGTATATTAGCTCCGGCTTACTAGTATATATAATTAATTAAAAATTTAT